TGCGCACTTAATTGACATTTTTGTAACGGCTGGTTAAGTTCGCATCGATGCACTCCAACTCTTCACCTCTTCGTTATGCCCCGTGCGAAAGCCAAGATAACGCTTAAGGCAAAGCGTGCCAAAAGCAAGACGTCCGGGTCTAGCTCGAGACCACACGCTGCTTTCCGCAAGTGGGATCACATTCCCCGTCTCGTGGTGTTCGATCTGGACTTCACGTTGTGGTTCCCTGAAATGTACGAGCTGTGGGGAGCTCCGTTCAAGAAGAACCCCAAAACGGGGGTCGTTACGGACTGCAAGGGGGAACAAGTGCACTTCTTTGGAGCTGTACACACGGTATTAAGTATCTTGGAGACAGACCCGCAGTTCCGAGACACGACCGAGGTGGCGGTGGCCTCGCGGACGACGGAGCCCAAATGGGCCAAGACCTGCATGCGACTCATGGACGTGGATATCGGCGGTGTGTCCTCGAAGGGCGATAAAGAAGAAGAGGACGAAGAGACGGAAGAGAACGACAAAGAAGAAGGTGAGGGGGTGGAGAAGACATCACTGCAGAGCATCGTGGACTATGAAGCCATCTACCCGCGCAACAAGCGCGTGCATTTCGAGCAACTCAAGAAAGACAGCGGCATTCCATATGAAGAAATGCTCTTTTTTGACAATGAATACGGCAACGTGCATGACATTCAGAAAATCGGTGTAACGTGCGCGTATTGCCCTCAAGGGCTCACAGAAGGGTCGTGGATCCAGGGCATGGAGGCGTTCCAAGCCGCGAAGACGAAAGAAACTAACTAGAAATTAATACTGGATTCCTTCGCAATAAATACTACTTCGAAGTATTAATGCTACCGGATATATCGCTGCGCTATCTCGATGAACTCATTGGCAAACTGTACACGAGAGCGATAAATTTGAGCACTACATCTCCAGAGCTCATTACGTGTACACCTTGTGCTTACTGTAATTTACCTGACCGACAAACAACATTGGTAAAACTTTACCAATAGCACTTTATCGATAATTCTTCTTCTACATATTATTGGAAATGTATTGACCAGAGAGAAATGGATCGTATCTGGTTGCAAACCTTAGTTGAGAAAGAGCAATCACACTGCGATGGCGGACCAGCTGAAAAAGGTTTCTAAACCTCATGAAGACGTGCTTACGCGGCTCCCACGCTTGGAATCAAAGAAGACTTTGTGCCGCGTCATGGAGCTAAATCAATTTAATCATCACGTGAGGAAGCTCGGTCCACTTGTGAATCCTGTTTTCGGCGAGCAGCCGGCGTTCTTCATCGAAGGTGGCCGCTGAAATCGAAGCACGGCTTCGTAATTGGGGCTGTATTAAGCAGTTACTCGCTAATTTTGCGGTAGGAGACTGGTGGACCGCCCCCAGCAGCAGGCCCGCCCGCCGAAGAAGCAGTTCGCACGCCCTCTCTTACATCGATATAGTAGCCATTTCAGCCTTTAATTAAAATTTCGATGTTTGAGCTACGACATTAGGTTGCAAAACAGCATTTAAAGTGTTAGAGGGCATGGGAAAAATACATCATTACAGACTCCGCCCAGAAAACTGAAAACTACTTCCTGCTTA